TTTCAGCTGGTGTTTCAGGCTTCTCTATCAGCAGCATGGAAAGAAACTCATGCTGATAAAGTCAGCAGATGACCCCAAGACTGATGGAGCGTAAATCAGCATGAGGGCTGGGTCATGAGTGCAGCTCAGTCCAGAGAAGCGCAAGGTTACACACTCAGCACAAAGAGCACACTCCCAAATGGGCTGGGCAGGTGCTCCTGGCACAGCACTAGAATTAAAAAGGTCGATGCGATTCTTGCCCGTCACCCCTGCTTTATGCTTGCTTCAGGCTGTGCCTCCATCTCATGAGTCTGCTCAGGACAGAACTGGTGGGGCATCCCTAAAAGATCAGGGGATGAAGAAACTTGCCTTGTCAGAGGCCCTAAGTAGCTGGCAGCTCTTAAATAGCTGGCACATGTGAGCAATCTCAGGAAAGAGATATCTGACAGGAATGAGCTCTTTGTCAGGGAGATCTGTGGAGAGTGTGGGCAGGTGGAGGCAAATGCTTTTGATGGCAGAAGGGCTTGAGGCAGATAGATCAGCTGGGACAGCTCAACACACCTGTGGGATGCCAGGTCCTCTGGACCAGCAAAACAACATACGTCCTTCCAAATTCCCCTTTCCCATGTGCATCTGGTGCTGCCCTTTTAGGCAGGGCTGATTCACAGCACATCGCAAGGGGTCCAGCTCTGGGAAGCTGCCTGAGCTGTGTGCCCTTGCTGTAGCCTTTCCAGCACCTTCTCCTCTCTACCCCAGAGCCTGCTCAGCTCCCTGCCCCATAGCGACTCACCACACTCCCTAAACACTGCTCCCATCTCACAGCAAGTCAGGGCACAGCCCTATAGCCCGGGGGGGACTTTGGGGGCTTTGGGTCCCCTCCACTCCATGCCGTCAGCTCAGCAGAGTGGGGCCTCGCTGCCAGGCACAAACCAGGCCCTGCAGCTCCCGCAGAGCTGCTGCTGCCAGAGCTGAGGCGTAAGTCTCCAGCTCCATGGCTGGGGGCAAACGAGGCTGCTCCTCCTGCCGGGCACCCATACCAGCGAGAGGTCCCCTTGTTCTGCAGTGGCTCCCCATTACTATCTGCTGGCTGGGCTTTATCTTGGTACTTCTCCTTTGCCGTTGTTTCAGTTCAGATGTTCTTTCTTTGAAATGAAAGGAGGTGGGGGAGGGACACCCCATCCTGCAATGTTTCTCATTTCTTTTCTTCAGATCAAGACCACAATCTACTCGAAACTGGTAGCTGCTGAGTGCTAGTGCCAGAGGAGGTATGGGGGCAGCTGCAGCTCCCTAAACCCTCTGCCAGAGCGGTGGCCATACATTCACGGGTGCTGAGATGAGGTGCCTCAGTGTCAGCAGCCCTTGGAACACTCCCCAGTGTGCTCCTGCCAAGGCCAATGGGAAGGCAAAGGCACCTTAGCCCCAAAAGGAAGTTTGTCTGCAAACAGGGATACCCAGAGAGTAGGAGGGCAGGAGCAGCCTGCGTTTGTGGCCAGTGGCATGCCTGGTCACTCCTGCTATAAGACTGCCTGCTCCAGAGAGAGTGTCCAGCTTCAGATCATGGCAGGGCACTAGCAGCTCTGGGAGAAAGAAAGCAAGCTACAAATGCAAGATAAAATATCAATGATTTCTGTTGAGGTTTTCCTGCTGTGCTTCTACACAGTCCTGATTAAAACTTGTATTTTCAGACATTCTGATTAAAAACTGGCTGGGGGAAGCTCTGTGGAGCACTCTTCCAAGTGGGCCTAGACAAGCAACCCTCAGGCTGGTTAGCGGACAGCTGGCATCCCCAGGTCTGTCCCACAAGGCTCCCCCCCACCTCGCCCATCCTGTGCACGCCGTGTGGCCCCAGCAGAGCCTGGCATCAGCCAAGGCATCCATTTGCTTGCAGGTGTTTTTCTCCTCCAGGAAGGGTGGAGCTGTGCTGGTTTGAAAATGGCTGATGGCTCCTGACAGTGGGTTGGGTGTATTTCCTAGCTTTGGTGTCTTCTACTCTGCAGCAGCAGGCATCATCTTTCCAGTGGCACATCTCATGGCAGGATGCTCCTGTCCCTGAAGGAGCTGGGAAGTGGTAGTAAGGCTCCTCTAACTTGAGCTGACACCAAACCCTGGAGCTGTGGCCTTTCATAGTACTTAAAGAATTGTCCCAGGCACAGGTGTTGTGCCTGGATGTCAGTTCATTGAAACTGGGTGGTGGTGATGGTGAGTCTCTGGAGGAAAAGTCTCTGCAGTGCCTCTCTGGATCTAAAGGAAAAAAAGAACATGAAAGTGAAAGTTTCAGGATAATTTCCTTTAGACCATATTAATGACCTTAAATGGCAAAGTTTTGTTGATTTTTTTTCTCTAAGTGGCTTTTCATGAGAAGCATGCATTTCCTCAATGCCAAAACATTAACCAGAAAACAAACAGCTTCATACAATGCCCCTCTCCACTCTCCTCCCCAAAAAGATAGTTCCTTGGAAGTCATTCTGATAAAACATGCTCAGTGGGCTAGCCCAGATCCTATACCCCATGGTGTCCAACATTTCCCTCCTTTGTGACTGGTTCAAGATTTTGACCTTTCCGCTGATCTGCACTGAAAGGCACTGACTGTTTCCAGTGCTCAGTGCCTGCAGGATGGAAGCTTTGGAGACATTCATCCCTCAGAGTCCTTACAGAGTGAGAGTGCTACAAATGCAAACTCCTCAGTCTCGCATTGTCTTTATAGTGTGGCATTTCATGCAGCTCCTGGCAGCTGCTGGCAATCACCAGAGAAGCAGTCTCTCCCCTCCCTAGATCTGAATTTTGGCCTGGGTAGCTCAGAAGGGCCGGAGAAGCTGGGCCAGCTCAGTGCCTGGTCTCCAAACACCAGGCCCAGCACCGGCTCTCTTACTGTGCCTGAGATGAGCTCAGGTTTCCCCTAGCATCTTCTGCTTGGTGACCCCATCTCCAGTGAGGTGGCATGTCCCCAGAAGGGAGGGAGCTGCACGTGCTTCTGCCACCCCCCTGTTCAGCTGCAGTCAGCATGGCGTGACCAAGGCCACGAGGCTGCTCCAGAGACTGCGGGAGCCCCTGGCCTAGGGTCCCCTGGGCAGGACCCATAAAATCCCTCATGTGAGCTCATCAGCGCTGCTTTGCACCGTCTGGAGCAGGGCGTATCTCAGTGCCAGGCTTGTCCCCACATGCTCACCTCTGACAGCTGTTCCTTCCCATGTTCATGCAGGGATGGCAGGGAGGAACCAGTCTTCGGCCAGGTTTCTCCCTGGACCAGGATACAGGCTGCGGAGGGCTTGGTGTAAACAGCGCAGCGTGAACAACAGGGCGATGCCTGGGCAAGAGGAGTGGGCAGGGGTGTGGTGCCAGGCACGGTGCCGAGGAAGTTGAACTGGTTTGAACTCAAGCACTACAGAGGAAGGACAAGCAGCACATCTCCCCACAGCTAGCGCTGCGTGTTTACTGACAGCAAGGCTGGTGTCTGGAGAGCATAAATTCATCCCAAGCTCTGCTGCTTACCATCCTCTGCACCACTTCCTTCACCTGCTGTTTTTCCTCCCTGCCTGTTAGGTGTAAGAATAGTAAGTGGTTTGGGGCAGAGGACTTCTGCCTGGTTTCTACTGCTTGCAGCATAGCCTGGCCCTGGTACTGCTGACCCACCAGCTGTTACAGAGCAATAAAAAAATTCAAATGGCCCGGAGTATCTGAGCTCAGCACCACTCGGATCAGGCAGAAAGCAAGACCTTTGCAGGAGGTTACTGCAGGATACAGAGTCATGGAGAGAGCTGCTACTCAGAGAGAAACTAAGGATCATTGTGCAGTGGGACTCCTGTATTTGGTAGTAAGGTTTTAATGACGCCAAAGGACTAGCACGCACGATAGCCCGTGCTCCCAGACCTCCCTGGCCGAGCTAGTGTAGCCTTACCACGAATCCAGTGGCTCTTCTGATGTGCAGGAGAGTGCTCTGAGCAGTAAGAGAGTGATATATTCATCTGTTGATTTGTTTATACCTACACACATGCTCTGATTTTATTTCCAGGAACTGTTTCAGGGGTTTTCCATTCTCATACCACAGCTCTTCCTGAAATGCCATCCTCTCAGTGACGCAGACTAACTGGCAGATCAGCCCCACTGCCTCCCTGGTGCCCTCCTGGGACACTTGCCCTGTCAGCTTGCCCAAGGTCTGTGGCCTTGACTGAAGACTTGATCACCTCTTTGAAACAGGGTCACCTGGAGCAGCCCAATGGTGGTTTCTGTTCAGGAGCACAAGGCTAGGAAGGGACAAATGCAGCAGGATTGGTGCTCAGTTTAGCATTTAACCAAATCACACCTTCTAGGGGCAAGGTGAAGACAGCAATTGCAGCCTTGTTTGCAGGTAATTTCAGGTCAGGGAAGGGAGAGAGCAGAGAATCCGAAGGAGAGTAGACGAAGTCTTACCCTGGTCCTATTTGAACAGATGTGCCAGTTGCCAGACCAGCTGCAGCCAGGAAACCATCAAAGGGAAAGAGCATCTGCCATCATTGTGCTTACCAACAAAACGTGAAGTGACCTGACCAGCCCTGGGAGCAAGTGACATGAGCTGAAGGTCCAGTCTGAGACAGTCGGATTGCCAGAGCTCAAAGATACCACGCTTCGGAGCAGGTGGGAGTGATTTGTCCTGCATCCAAACTGCGGGAGAAATGCTAAATCACACCTCAGAAATACCCTGGGACACGTCTTCTGGTCAGCACCCCTGAGGTTCTAGGACTGTGGCATACCACACTCTCCCCACCCCGGCCTTTCTGTCCTGCTCTATCACTCATCAATCTCAGCCTCAGAGCATGTGAGCAGGCCAGGGCAGCAGAGATGCAGATATCCCCGAAGGGATGCTGCACCGCTCTGATTACCATAATCAGGCCTTCGCACATGGTTTCCTGACTGCTGGGTGCAGCTGCCTCCAGGGTATAAAACGAGCCCTTGGGCACTGGGGGACGCAGAATTCCACACACCTTGGAAGGAGCATCCAGCCGTGAGAAGGGACCCTGGGAAGGAGCACCCAGCCGTGAGAAGGGATGTGCAGGCCCCAGCCGCTGCTGGTCCTGCTGCTCTTGCTTTCCTGCCCGTGGGCTGATGCTGGTAAGCTGGGATGCCGCAAACTGCTGTGAGGGAGGCTGCTAGTCTGGGCTCCGACCTCAGCCACCACCAGCTTACCCTGTGGTGGGGTGTCTTACAGGTGCTCTGCAGGGTCAGATTGTGGGGGGCCATGAGGCTCAGCCCCACTCCCACCCATACATGGCATACCTGAAGATAGGGCCGTTTTCCTGTGGAGGCTTCCTGGTGGCCCCTGACTGGGTGATGACAGCTGCACACTGCATGGGGTGAGTACTTCATACAGGGGCTTCATCCCCTTTTTCCCCCCTAACCTGTGAGGTGCAGCACTGGAGTACTTTTAGAGTAGATTCCTCTTCCTCCTGTGCTGAACAGCTCTTGCCACCTCCCTGCAAAAGGCGGGGACATGGTTGAGACCCAACCTGTGTTTCTCCCCTCCAAAAAAAGTCCTGGGGGCTCACAACATCCAGGAACCAGAAACAACTCAGCAGATCCGGGGAGTTCTCAGATACCACATGCACCCTGGATACAACCCCAGCACAGTGTCTAATGACATCATGCTACTTAAGGCAAGGCAGGCCCGTAGCAACCAGTGGGGTGGTGGGTAGGCTGGGACTGCGGGTCTAG